TTTTGGTCTCGGCTTGAATAAGGAAAAAAAACGCATTAAAGAGGCCCAAGTCATTAAACGGGCCGCCACATTATCATAGAAGCCCAATATACCCTAAACTCCATACCTGTAGTTTCCTAAACCCTAAAACCCTAAACCCCTAAACCCTAAAGCCGTAACCCGTAACCCGTAAACCCTAAACACTAAACCCCTCAACTTCCCACCTGTAGTTTCATTTAAGTGAAGGGCTCCCTTCAAGGATCTCCTTGGAGGAGATCCTTGAAGCGTACATCAGGGTTTAGGGGTTTAGGGTTTAGGGTTTAGGGGTTTAGGGTTTATAAGGATTACCTGGTATAGGGTTTCGAGGTTTAGGGTTTAAGGTTGACCGTTCATTTGAGGTTTCAGGTTTAGGGTTGAGGGTTTAGGGTTAAGGGTTGAGGGTTTATACTAAGGGTCCATGTACCCAAATAGTAGATACTCTGGCCCCAAAGTACCCAAAACAGGGACTACTTGGCGGCTGTTCAGGTAACGCTAACGGGCTGCCTAGGAATAGGGAGAACTCTTAAGACATGACCCCAAACCTTTAACTTAAACCCGCAAGCAGTAAACACTTCATTCATAACACCCTATAGAACCCTCGCAAATCCTTAGGTTCCCATACCTTAAGCTTAAACCTAACCTCCAAACCTCCTCACAACACCCCATAGAAGCCCGAACAATCCTTCCCGTGCAGCCCCGAGAACCTTTAGAGTCCATGTACTAGAATAGTACCCTAAGGGTCCATGTGCCCAAATAGTATATACTTTGGCTTTAATGTAATCCCTATATAGGTACTTTGGGGCCAATGTATATACTATTTGGGCAGATGGACCCTTTAGGGGTAGATAAATTGACCCTCAAGTACCAATACCATAGGGACTAGTTTTGGGCCAAAGCATAAAATACTGAGATGATATCAATCCTGCATTACCTTAAGGTCCCTAAACTATGGGAATTATGGGGTACATTCCTAATTATGGGCAATGGAGGGTTTGTATCATCAACCGTACCTTCACACATGGACCCTTAGGCAAGCCGCTGATCGAGCTTCTTTGAAACTTTCAAAGTCAAAGTTGAGGATTACACTTGGATTTATGCGGAGGATCCCTGCATGCTATAATTCGCGTTCCTTCGATAGTCTCTGGGAGACCCCAATAAAACTCATAGAATCCTCAGAAAATCCAAATAGAATCCTTCTAAAGCCCTTCTAACCCCCTTCCACAGTTCTTTCAACCCTACAAAACTCCAAACCCTAAACCCTAAAGCATATAGCCTGGAATAGAATGGCCTAGAAGACTTTACCCCTAAACCCGAACCCCTAAACTCTAAACCCTAAACCCTAAACCCTAAGACTGGCTTTTTCGATTGCCACTCCGAGCCCCGACCAGGAATGCAGACATTGGCCAGGAAGCTTTTCGTGAGGCTCAGGGTTTAAGTTTAGGGTTTAGGGCTAGATTAAGGGGTTAAGGACTTTGGGTTTAGGGGTTTGGGGGTTTGGGTTTAGGGCTTAGGGTTTAAGGGTTTAGGGTTTAGGATTTAGGGGGTTAAGGGTTTAGGGCTTAGGGCTAAGGGTTTAGGGTTGAGGGTTTAGGGCTAAGGGTTTAGGGTTTAGGGTTAGATTATGGGGTTAAGGGTTTAGGGTTAGATATTGGGGTTAGGTTTTTCGGGCTTAGGGTTTAGGGTTTAGGGCTTAGGGCTAAGGGTTTAGGGTTTATGGTTAGGTTATGGGGTTTAGGGTTTAGGGTTAGATTATGGGGTTTAGGGTTTAGGGTTAGATAATGGGGTCAGGTTTTTTGGGCTTAGGGCTAAGGGTTTAGGGTTTAGGGTTAGATTATTGGGTTTAGGGTTTAGGGCTCATGGGTTTGGGTTTAGGGCTTAGGGTTTAGGGCTGAGGGCTTTTAGGGTTTAGGGTTTAGGGTTTTAGGGTTTAGGGGGTTGGGTTTTAAATTTTAGGATTTAGGGCATAGGGCTTCGGGTTTAGGGGGTTTAGGGCTGATATAAATGAGCATTAAGCCCTAAACCCCTAAACCCTAAACCCTAAACATGAGGGCCTACTTAGCGGTGGGCGTGTTTTAAGTTATCTTGAAGCGAGGGCTTAACTCCTTGCTGAAGCAGGGGTTTCTCGAGGCTTTGCCAGAACTGGGTGCGATTTGTGGTAAGCTTATAAGAGCCATACTCGGGGATGTAGGTATTTAAGAGTTGGGAATGTAGGTATTTAAGAGTTTACGTACCTTGTTGATGAACCTAGGTACGAGGTCCCATGATCCTGTCCGCGGTTCTTGAAGTGCTCTATACGGGTACGGTGAGGGGTGCTACAAGGGTACCATGCGGGCTCCGAAGTCGGATTCAGGGTTTAGGGTCCCAGACCCCCGGGAGGATCCGACAAGTGAATCCCTTAAGGGGGTTCCGAACCCTAAACCCCAAACCTTAAACCCTACAAAGTACCCTTTCGCAGCCTAGGCTCCCAAATGAGGGGTTAAACCCTAAACCCTAAATTAGGGGTTCTACTTTCTAGATCCTTCTAGGGGTATGGTATTTCGGAGTTATGGGAGCTCCGTCAAGGCCGAAGCGGCTTAGGGTTTACGGTTTAGGGTTTCGGGTAACCTTTAAGCCCCAACCCCTGAAGAATGCCTCAACCCGCAAACCCGAGCTTCACGATGAGGAACTCGACGATATCGAGATCACCTACCTCCCGAGCGCAGCAACGTCATGCACTTTCCTCAACGCAAAGGGAGGGCCGAGATCGTGCATAGGTCACGATCAAGTCACAGTCACTACGCCTGAGGTCATTTATTGCAAGAGCGCAACTCCGATCTACAAGCAGGACTTGTCCATGGCTGTGAAAGGCAGCGTCAGAGCCTGAAGATTCGCTCTGCAAGACACGCGAGATTGGAAACCGCTGTAAGACAGCTTTGGCGAAATTTCCAACACACCCGCATTCGCTGCGGCCTTTGGAACTGTCTTCCACACTTGCTTCGCACAGTGAAGGGATGGAGCCTCGCTCCTCTCTTTCGAGAGGAGGGAGGACGCTATCGCATCACAGCGATTTCTCTACATGAGGGTCTTTTGTTGGAAACCAAATTAGTACGGCACCTTTACAAAAAAAACAGAGGGACCAGCTATTTTAAGCAACTACCCAGTTACATTGAACTACTTTGCTGGGAGGTTCACGAGACTCAGGAAGTACATTTATAAGTTCCCTAACTGGGGGTAACATTACCCAGGGGTCCATGCATACTATCATTATGGAGTTGGATCCCCAAAGACCATCCTTACTATGGCTGAGGGGCCCGATTCTATAGTGCATGGGTAGCCTTTACACCTCTGCAAGATGCACCCCCACAAGGTAGTAAGCATATCATGGGCATCAACAAGCAGTATGTGTGTCGCCAAAATTTCAAACAACGCTTGACAATACAAGGACTTAACAAAATAGGGAACATAAGCCTTTATCAGGATTTATTAGGGCTTAGTAGAGCTTCACAAGCTTTAATAAGGCCCAATCGTGTCGGCGGGGCGCATGCCTGCCACAGTTTAGGTTTCAGGTTTGAAAAGCATATTGCCCCAGTTTATGGACGCTGCTTGCTAGGCCCTGACAAGCCTTATTAAGGCTTATTAAATTTTATAAAGCCTCATTAGGGGTATCCATCTGTGGGGGCCCATTCCGGAGAGGCCCATAGTGGTGCCATGTATAGTGGCTTTATAGATGGACCCTCTAGGTTGGTATTACCTAGGGGTCCATGTGCCCAACTAGTAGATGCTTTGCCCCCAAAGTATTTAAATAGGGAGTACTTTAAGGCCAAAGTATATACTATTTGGGTGCATGGACCATTAGGGCATAAGATGTTATTAGTTAAACCCTAAACCCTAAACCCTAAACCCTAAACCCTAAACCCTAAACCCTAAACCCTAAACCCCAATCCCCAGAGGCCCTAGTACCTGGTTTAGTTATACGTGCCGATCGGCCAGGGTGCTTGAACTGGGTGAGCTTCGCCTGGAGGGGCCCAGCCTCTCGGCCTTTACTGCACCCAAAGGGTCCAAGTAGTAATATGGCAGCTACTTTGTGGGTATTTGGGCCCCAAAAGTATATACCATACTATAACTTCGACCCTTTGGGGCAAAGGCTCAGGGTTTAGGGTTTAGTCGGTTTAGGGTTTAGGGTTTAGGGTTCCCCGGTAGTACCTCAAGGGACCCTTAAAGGGTACTATAGTGTTCTAGAATAGGGCCCGTTTAGGGGTGAGAATTGTAGCAATTTAGGGTTTTTTTTTACCTGTTTAGGCATTTGGCCCTAAACCTTAATCCCGAAACCCAAAGCTAAACCATAAAGGGGTGTAGGCTTGTTTCGGTGCTTCGAGGTTTAGGAATGAGGGTTCGGGGACATGCAGCATGTGCACACCCCTGCCCTCTAAATGATGACACGCCGCCATAAGCTCCTGAATACGTAGGCAGCAGGGGTTTCGGACTTGCCGCTGTCGTGTAGTGCAGTATGCTCCCGATTGGCTTTCTTACCGCACAGTGGTCAGAATGTTGAGCTCCCGGTGCGTTCTTCAGCCTCAGCCCAAGGCTGTCAATTGTGTGCGTGTGCGCATGCACGGACACAGACACGCACACACACACACATACATATGTATGTATATATAT